CTTCAAATCTTTTTCTTTATTTGTAATTTATATAATTCACCTCCCTGTGGTTCGACCCCGGTCTTGCCGGGTTATTTTACTTTGACACTCCTGCACTTGGGATAAGACATCAACTCTTTGATCGTGTCAGAGGTTAATTGTACAAATTATAGATAACAATAATACAATAACAACAATAGTAGTAGTAGTAGTAATAATAACAATAACAATAATAGTAATAGTAGTAGTAATAATAACAATAACAATAATAGTAATAGTAGTAGTAGTAGTAGTAGTAGTAGTAGTAGTAGTAGTAGTATTAATAATAATAATAATAACAATAGAAGAAGAAGAAGAAGTTGATGAGAACTTTGAGATGGAAGATTAACATAAGGATTAAACAATGATAACAATAAATGTCAAGGTTAGAGGATCCACTAATGGTATGTCAAACAAGTGTAGTATAAACTCTTATTACTCAAATAGAAATCACACACATACGAGGTTCCAATCAGATTATAAATTATTAACATGATTACATTAGTTATCTTATTTGAATAATGCTAATACTTGTAAATATTGTCAGAGATTCATGTTTATAACTTATGTTAACAACAAATCAAGTTCCTATCATAGCTCAGGATCGGTTATACCATACAGTATGGGCTATAAAAGTGCCAAGTATTTGTTGTATCAACTCTTATACAATATAAATCTAGATTGGTCATTTAACAAGCAAAGTATTAAAGAGTGAACAAAACAAATATAAAACATGTTAGTATAAAAAGTTAAAGTCCATATTGAGTTTACATTATACTTATTCTTATACCATTAGTGTAACCTTTTCACCTTGATATAATAAACCTAGCTAAACATGATGAAAGAAAGAAAAATAAATAAATAAAATACGAACATAAATAAGATAAAAGCTAAATAAGTAAACGAAAGAAAATGAAAGGTATAGACTTGATATTAATGAAAGCAAAACATAAGCAATACAAAAAAATACAAAGAGAGAAAATGAGAGCATGATCTTGATCTGGAAATCAAGATACCTAAATATATGACAAATGCCTCCTTTTATAGGCCAAAATTAGGAACTATTAATTTGATGACTAATTGATAAGTGGATGGCCAACTCTTGACTTGGTGACAATCCTTATCTTCTCTTGCCTACCCAAAACGTCATTGATAACTTTAGAACTGGAACTACTTGAAAACATGAAAGTTGTAGAAAATTATCTCATCTTTCTAGGAAAAAAAATGAAGGTCATTTTGACTTTTAGAACTCTAGATATAGGTCAAACATTGAATAGTGCTTGAGTTATAGAACAGATTCGGACTTCTTTATTGTTGCTATAATTTGGACTTGAAAATGACATTTTTAAATATTGGGCTCCATATGAAAGTTGTAGGTCTATGTCTTACCTTTCCATCCATATAAAGTAGACCTAAATTCGAGATCTACAACTCCAAATATGACCTAATTACCAAATAGTGTTCTAATTTGGACTGAACCGACATCTCTTTTCTAAGTTTGGTCATCGCTTTGTCCTTTCAATTCCAGTTATTAAATTCATCAATCAATGCTTTCATTTATGTGATAGGTCTGCATTTAAAATGAATGTTTACCATAAATTAAAGGTATCTTATATTATTAGATATGTTATTATAAAACATGTTTTAGTTAAGGAGTTATTGATACTTCAAGTACAAAATGATAATAGAAAACCTTGATAAAAATGCACTTTTAAGTACTAATCATTAATTCCTTTACTTTATTGAAATTATTGAATTATTTTTTATAAATTTTTAATGCAAGGCTAAATTTAAGTGGGATAAAGCAAATGATAATGTTGTGGGGAAGGTTTGAGAGAATCACGCTGCAACTAGGTAGTATAAAAAACAATGCAATAATATTTTTTTAATTTTAAATATTAAAATTTCAGTTATCATTAACTTATCTAGAATAATTTTGTATCATGTAGATTGCATGATTTTTTATATAAGATGTAAAAAAAATCTTAAAAATATGCTAGAGAAAACGCTCTACTAAGCTAAAATAACGTAGTGGTTTGGAAGGATTTTAGGCCACCATACATGCTGAAGAATATATTGACATAATATATTCAACACATGACGTTCGAGTGTTTCGCACGATACTCATAGTCTGGTGTGAGGAACCAGAGTTGACAAATTCAAGGTTTGGTTACCATGCACACTTGCAACTTTTCCATTCGTTTCTCATGCAAAGCAAATGATAAGATTAATTTTAATTATATCTATCCTTAATTAATTTGTTGTTATTTATAAATATATTTAATTGGTAATATGTTTTTCTAATAGGCTACGGCTCTTTGACGTGAGTCAAGCCCAATTGAGCTTTTTATAGAGATGCACGTGTGAATGAAGGCCGCCAAAAAGGGATGCAACAGTTTGGTGACAACTGCACTTAATACTTTGTGGTACGTTAATTTAACCATTTTATTTCGTAAGTTATTATTTTCTTGAATTTGATAATTTTATTTTTTATTTTTAGGAGACATGTAACAACCGGTTGAATGAGAAATATAAGGACAATCCTTTGATTCACCCAAATTTCGATTCGAATTTATGGATGGAGATAAGATTATGTGGTGGACCCAATAGAAGTTGGGAGTACGGACTCTCCAACACTACGGTCAAGAACTTATGGACAACCCGTAGTATCTCAATTGTTGGAAGCTCGTAATCAATACCAAGCACTCAGTCTTCAGAGTTCACAGCCTTGTTACAACGAGGAGTGCAAGAACATACAGCCCATCTAAATGAAAAATATGAATGACTCTCTACGGATTATAAAGAACTCCACCGAATAATCATAGGTATTAGATCACAAATAGGTGGTACATGTACACCCTCTTATTGGCTATATGGTTCTGGGAACGGCCAGCCTCCTCCTCCTCCTCCTTCAACGCCACCTTTGTTTTAGTTTCATTGTATTTGAACATATAAATTTGTAATAAATATTTGGCTTTTATATTAAGATAATTTATTTTTATATACTTTTTAATTTTTTTAATTATTTTCTTTTTCTATTCAATAGATTTTTAAAAAATATATATTTTTTTAATTATTACAGACAGGGTTATTGACGGACTCAATTCGTCGGTATATTTTAGAAAGATGGAAAAAAATTACTACATGTGCCACTTCAACTATTACATCACCAATAAAATTATTCCGTCGATATTTTACAGAGCATTGGAATAAAATTACTTTAAATGTCACTACCAATCATCAACTAAATTTCATCGATATATTCCAACAAGTAATTTTTTTTGGTGTGTATTATTCATTTGTAAAACCATTGGATTTCTTTTTTAACAACAAACATTTCAATAGACCAGAAATTACCAATAAGGAGTTTCCCAACGACCGTTTTTCATACGTGAATCCATTCGTAAAATATGCTATGACAGAATGGTAAAGTAAATACCCTTGAAATGTAGTAATTAATGTTTTATTTTGATTGCTATGTTTTAAGTTTTTTAAATAACTTGTAAGAAGAAGGGAGGTGTAAAGTTTTTCTCCAAAAGAACCAATTATATTTCATTCTTTAGTTTTTTTCTTGTTTTATTTTAAAACATTGATTTTGATTTTTCTCTTTTCTTCTAATTTATGGATAATGGGTATATTTAATGTACATTGTCATCAACAGAATGGAAAAAAAAAAAATCGAAGTCCTTTATTGAAAGAAACGAAGGTATATACACTTAGATAGAGAAAAAAATAAAAAGAGCCTTGATTAAAATAAATTTACGTAACTCTGAATTTTGCATTTACCTCCATCAAGAGCAATGCAGCAAGTTGTAATTGGACAACAGATGCAAATACAGGACATGGAGAGATCGTAATGGATGGGACCAAAGGTACTCCAGCTTCAAGAGCCCTCAAATCTAAGAAATAATGGAAGCAACTAGGGACTTCCCTCTCCTCCACAACTTCAACTTTTCATGGCATGAAATGGTTGTCCCATTATTTATTTATTTATTTATTGCTAAAGAATGGTTATTTCGAGTCTTATTTACTTTGTTTTGCAATAGATGGGTTGGTGGTTAGGATACTGTTTGTATACTCACGTATTCGTTGGCCCACTTTTTAGAATTCTGCAATCTCCATCTTTAGTTCCATAGTTAAACAATTCAAATTAGGAAGACAAGCATGTAATGGTGATTTACTAATTTTAAATTTGAAACGAGTTTTAAATAAAATAAAATAAAAAGTAACTTAATTAAATTTAATTTATTCAGTAAATCAACAAAGAATTTGATTACTCGGTTGAAATTTAATTTATTTTTTTAAAATTAAAAATAAATGTATTTCAATAATGAGTTTTAAAATAACTTAAATAAAAATTAACTTAATTTAATTTAATTTATTCAGTAAATCAACAAATAATTTGGTTATTCAATCAAAATCTAATTTGATTTTTTAAATTAAAAATAAAATTATTTTAATAAATTTTTTTAGAATTCAAAAGATATTATTTTAAATTAACCTGATCAATCCATCCACTCAGGAGTGGCCAAACCTTATTACTTCGTTCAATGTCAAATTGAATTTTATAAAATCATCATACTAAATGTAGGTTAATATATATATATATATATGTATATATATATATAAAAAGAAACCTCTATTGACATTACTTCTAAGTAATGGGTCAAAAGAGGTTAAATTATTTTGTAGATAATTATCAAAATCAGGGGGAAAAAAAAGGAAAGTGCACCTAAAATAAGGAAATTTGAGATTGTAGGTAAATTGTGGATAACCTCTTAAACTGGAAACAGTTGAGAAGCACGAACTATACAACTCTTTCCCCCGCCCATTTGGAGAACCGCATGAATTGTGTTGAATTCCTCATTTCGATCAATTCTCGCAAACGTCAATCAACCTATAAGCATGAACTACAGCGAAGAAAACCTGCCATATTTAAAGCTTCCCTTAATAAATGATTATTGATCAATGCAAGAAACATCTCCACTCCTCTAAACACCATGCTCTTTGCGTTTCCTTAGCTTTATGCAAGACCAATAAAGAGTCTGTCTGCCTGGACTCCTATGTTGTAGATTGCAGTCCTGATCCCTCGCATGAGAGCTGTTTTCATGAAAATGAAACACTTACTTGAGGAAATAACATCTGCTCATGTTCCAAAGACTGCCGTGCTACCACCTGCATCATCTAGTAGCTCATCTACTGATGATCAAGAGATGGGTTCGAATTCAATGCCAATGAAAAGGCATATCTTTATTAAAAAATCTAGTTTTTGCAGCTTTCTGCAGGGCATGGATCTAAATCCTGCACGCATGGTAAGCAATCCAACTCTCCTTGATATTCATGAGCCTAGCTACCTACAATTCATCAGTGATGATTGGCTTTCGTCCTTCCTAAAAAATAACCTACATTTCTAGCATCTTGCATAATTCCATTGATTCCTGCCACTTAAATTCCAAAATCATTTACAATCTCGTTATAGACTATAAGACATACTGTCGTCGCGGAGAAACTGAGATAGTGTTCGGTTGCTGTCTAAGGATAGAAAAGATGAAAACAATTAGGATAGATGAGACATATACTTTCTATCCTTCCCTGTTTTGGAAGGATATGAATTCACTCCACAACAAATATACAGGTGATGGGATAATATCGAAACAAATACATCTACAAGAGGTTACTAAGAATACACCAGATTTCGACATATTGATCCTCACATTTTTCTGTCAGCAACATTTTCATGTAACTGCTTGAAACTGTAAATTATGCTAGTATAAATCGCAAGTCCAAGTGCCCAAAATGTTGTTCTAAACGTTATTTTTCAACTACATATCTGAAGTCCATTTTCTCAGCCGATCAGTTTGATTGAAAACTCTTCTTTCTGCTGGCCCTGCATTCTGAATGTTTTGCTGTATCTGAAACGTGTAAGCTCCATTATGATTTGCAGGTTTTAGCAGAGATGGTAGGAACCTTTCTTTTACTGTTCTGTGTATGTGGGATTGTGGCGTGCACGCAGATATTGAGAGGGGAAGTGGGTCTGATGGAATATGCATCCGTAGCGGGATTAACAATCATTGTCGTGATTTTCTCCATAGGATCAATCTCTGGTGCTCACGTTAATCCTGCTGTTACCATTGCCTTCGCAACTTTTGGTCATTTTCCATGGTCCAAGGTAAAAAATCATTCAAATTCTATTTACTGATAGAATTTCTTCATATTTTTAAACACCAATTTACATATACATGATACCAATATTGGTTTCTTCCAGGTTCCACTTTACATATTGGCTCAAACAGTAGGTTCAGTTTTGGCAACATATGTTGGAAGCTCAGTATACGGCGTAAAAACAGAACTTATGACCACCCGGCCAGCAATAGGCTGCAGTTCTGCCTTCTGGGTGGAATTTATGGCCACTTTCATGCTCATGTTCCTTGCAGCCTCGTTAACAAGCCAATCCCGATCCGTAAGGCAAATCCCCCATGTTTTTGTTTCTAAATGAATTGTGTTGTTTTTGCCAGAAACATGCATATTGTTTTTTATATTTGAAGTCTCTGCTTTTTTTCGGTGAATTTCTCAATCTCTACGGGAGAAATCTCCAATATGTTTTTTTTTTAATTTTATTTATTATATCTTTATATAGTACATGAAGATATGTTTTCCCATTAAAATTTAATAAAATTATATTTTTTTATTCAAAAAATCCCATTACGTTTTATAAGAATATAATAGTAAAAATTAATAAAATTGCTAAAAGTTGTATTGAGAGATAAAAAGTTTCAAAATTACTCTCCAATTAAAATTTTGAAAAATAAAAATTATTTTCTTGTAAACTCATGGAAATTTTTAAAATAAAAAATATATAATTATATCAATTTGAATGGAAAAGGAATTTACAATATATTAAAATAATTAAATATTATATAAGTACATAAAAAAAGGGATATAAGGAAAACTTTCCCAATTATATATTAAATAGTTTTGAGCTCGAGAGGGTAATGAATACATGAGATTCGAGTTTGGATATGAACAGTATAAAACCCGATTCATTGGTATCCATTACCTCCCCCAAATGAAAATGCTTATTCCTCAGACGGAATTGCAGGACACTGTCAACCGCTACAAAACCTGTTCATGACTGTAGTTGGAAAACTTTTTTGCAGATAGGCCCTTTGTCTGGTTTTCTTTACGGCATTGCCATTGGACTTGCAGTGCTTATTACAGGGTATGAACAATGAACGGCTGGAAGACACTCTTAAAATATCGTTCCTTCTAATTTTCTCTTGGTTTTTTGATCATGTTAGTTTTTCTTCTTCTTCTTCTTTATTCATTCCAGGCCTGTGTCAGGAGGATCATTGAATCCTGCAAGGTCATTGGGTCCTGCAATTATTTCCTGGGACTTCAAGGATATATGGGTATACATCACTGCCCCCACCATTGGAGCTGTAGCTGGTGCTCTCATATTTCATCTCTTACGGATTCGACCCCATGCATGCAGCGCCAATTCCTCTCCTGATGATGATCTACTTGTTCATTCTATAGCCTTCACTGAGAGCTAATCCATCGTGGTTTTCTTCTTTCTTTTTCTATTAATTAGAATTTGTTTTCGAAATATATACTTGCCCACCACACTATAATGGTGGCACCGTGTACATTGCAGCAACAAAATAAAATTCACCAGGAGGTGGTTGGTGATTAATACAGAACTTATTGTTGTTTCTAAATTAGCAATTTTTCAGATTTTTGTTCGGGAAATCAATGTTATAGAGCCACCTGGGCAAGGAGGCTTGATAAGCTCAAAGTTTAAATTAATGGATTATGAGTTTTTTTTTATTATTATTATTAAGTATTACTATAAAATATATGGTTTTTTTTAACTGTGCAAGGCTCGCTATTTATTTTACAATATTGTAAATGGGTTATACAAAAAAAAAAATTCAATTTCATTCATAAATTTATTTTTTAGCAATGTAGTCCTAATCAATTAATTTTGATTTTTTATGAAAATGTGGTATTGAAAGAGGAGGAACCCAAAAAAAGAGCACCAAACATGGGTGGCACATTATAAGTTTCACAAAAGATGCATTTTAGTCCTTAATTTTAAAAATCATGCAAATTATACAATTTCAATATCTCAATATTTTTCTAATTCAATTTTGATATAAAAGTTTATTTTCATTATTTTTATGTCCCTGGTTGAGAGAAGAGAGTTGTCGCTAGATTATTGCGGTAAAGAAAAAAAAGTATTGTTGACACCAAATTAGATTATCAAAACAAATGATATTTGTATTAAATATTTCTATTTTATTAAGGGAGTTCATATTAGGTGTTTTTTTTTTAACGTTTAGTGTTCATGAAAAAAACATATATGAGCTCGAGTTGATTTTGATTTTTAGGGTGGTGTTTTGGGTATTTTGAGGTCATAGATAGGCTTATCATGGTTCCTATAGTATTTTGAGTCAAAAATGGATTGAAAACGGATTTTGAATGAAAAGACTTAAGCTCCGATTTTTTTCAAAAATCAGATGATGTGTCATCTGAATTATTTTTCAAAAACAACTTAGGGCAAACCGCCCTAGTTGCAAACAAAAAATAATAATAATTAAAGGCTCAATCCTGGAGGCCTTCACAAAATAGGTCAAGCCTAGCAACGCCTAGCCTTTACTTTTTTTTTAATTAATGATTTCTTTTATGATTATTCTCTAAAAAATTTTAATTTATATTTAAATTAGTACTCCTCTCTTTTATCTTATTTGGAAAGTCTCTTGTAAATGATGATTATTTTTTAGTTATGCATTTAAATTTGAAAAGTTTTTCTAATTTATCTATAATTTTTATATATATTTTGTATGGATGCATAACTAGAAAATTGGTGAAAACCAATAGAATTATCGATGAAATTTTTTCATTGGTAATTTTTACCAACAGAAATAATTTCATCTTTACTTTTTTCGGTATATACTGACAAACAATATCCATCAGTGATACGGTTGGTATATACCGACAGAATTCATTCGTCGGTATATACAAATTGTATCGCCGACAGATTATATAGTTTTTTTGAAAAGTTGCAACGATGTGATGAAATGGATTTTTTCATATGATTTTACTGACAAAATAATTGAAGGATTCAAACTGTGATCTCCATACAGTAACGTGACACAGTCACTGGTGAAATTACCGACAGGTATATCAACAGAACTTATTCGTCGATGATTTCATCGGTGAAAGCCAATATATACCTATTATGCTGACACTCTCTTCCTCTATTTCTCTTTCTTCCCCTTCTTCTTCCCCATCCCACCTCTCCTCTCCCAAATTCCAGCCAATGGCCCATCCCAACTCTCCCCCTCTTCTCTTATACTTTTGTATGCGGTCACAACATTCGTTCTCCAAGCAATTTATTATGGATTTTATCATTTTTTGTAAGTAAATCTATCATTTTTAGTTTTAACATTTAAATGTCAATTTTATTGTTTTTTATTTTTTTTTTAGTATATGTACTTTGTTAATGTACGTAATTATTTGCTTGTTATTTGTCAAAGAAACTTGTAGTATGAATGTATAATTTTGTAGTTGTTATAGTTTGTTTTAGATTTTACCAAATTATATTTGTTCATAAATTATTAAAACTTTGTTTGAATTACACCTAATTAGATGTGTTGTGATGAAATAAATGATATCTTGTTTAACGAATCCATTTTAATTTTTATAAATTCTATTAGGAAATTGTGATTTCCATACATTTATATATGTATAAATTTGTATGGACGTTGATAGTTGATAATTGATAATGAATATTTAACATGAGTGTTTTTATAGTTTATTGGATAATGTCGAGGCAAACCAATATTTTTGTAAATTTATTTACGTCATATAGTTAAGTAATATATGTTGTTGTCCTAATTTTATAGAGGTTCGATAGAAGTCATGGATGATCATTCATGGATGTATTGGGACTCACCCAAAGAATTATGGAGGATGAATTATTGTAATGGATTTCAAGGTTTTATTAATTTCACAATATCTATTTCAAGAAATTTTATTGATTGTGATATTAGGTGTCCATATAGGAAGTGTAAAAATAAAACTTTTCTGCATCAAAATGTTGTAACAATGCATCTTTTAACCAAAGGATTAATAGAGGATTACTTGTGTTGATATGCACATGGAGAACTATTTGTTTCTAATAGGAACATAGTAGAAAGGGTGGTTGGGTCATCTTCTAGTGCTTGCAACATGCATAAAGTAGGAAATGACAATAGTAATCCTTATAGGAATTTGGTTATGGATGTAATGAGAATGAATAAAAGTAATGTCAGTGAATGTCCAATTATAGAAGAAGAACCTAATGCAGATGCAACAAGGTTTTTTGATTTGTTAAAAGATTCTGACGCACCATTATGGGATGACCACACGAACCACAGTAAATTATCAGTAGTATCATAGGTGTTCATCATCAAGTCAGATCACGTGTTGAGTGAGGTTAGTAATGAGAAGATTATCGAATGGGCAAGAAGCATTTTACTTAAAGGGAAAAGGCTAAAAGAGAACTTGTATACTACAAAGTCTATGATGAAACCCCTCGGTTTAGGATACCAAAGAATTGACATCTATCCTAACTTCTGCATGTTATACAACCTTTAAAATGCTAAGCTGACCGAGTACATGACATGTGGGCATTCCCGTTATAAACTTAGAACTGGCAGGGGAAAGCTCTCATGGCATATAAAAAACTTAGATACTTCTCAATCACACCTAGACTGCAGAGGTTATTCATGTCACCAAGGACTCCTCTGCACATGACATGCACCAGTCACATCATGCGGTTGATGGAGTGATGGTGCATCCTTTTGATGGCAAAGCATGGAAACACTTTAATAGGTGCATCCTTACTTTTTAGTTGAATCAAGAAACATGCATCTTGGGTTGTGTATAGAAGAATTTAGCCCATTCGGGTCATTTACTGCTCCTTATTCTTGTTGGCGAGTCATACTGACTGTTTATAACATGCTAGCGAGGATGTATATGAAACCAGAGTTCATGTTTTTATCAATAGTCATACCAGGTCTGAGTAGTCTGGGGCGGAATATGAATGTTTGTCTTTGAACGTTGATTAATGAGTTGACACAGTTGTGGTCCTCTAGAGCTTTGACTTATAATATATCAAGGAAATAAAATTGTGTTATAAAAGCAGCTTTGATATGGACTATCAATGATTTCCTAGCTTATGCAACGGTTTCTGGTTGAAGCATGCATGGAAAACTATCATGTCTATATTGCATGGAGAACAACAAGGCATTCACGCTAACAAATAATCGTAAAGCTTTTTTTTTTACTAACACCATCATTTCTTGCCACCGAATCACGGGAACAGAAAGAACAAAAAGGATTTTTTATTGACAGAATTAAAAAGGATATTGTACCCCTATGTCTTTCTAGCAAAGAATTCTATGATACTGTGTTAGAGTACGATGACATTGTGTTTGATCTTCAATCAGATAAGTAGAAGTTTCCTGGTTTTGGTTTTACCCATAATTGGGTACAGGAAAGTATCTTCTAGGAGCTTCCTTATTGGAAAACCAATATTTTCTACCATAACCTTGACATCATACAAATTGAAAAGAACGTGTTTAAGAATATTTCCAACACCATTATGGATGTGAAGGGCAAAACAAAGGACAACATCAAGGCTAGATTAGATGTAGTATTATTCTGTAAGCGTAAAACTATAGAGTTAGTTTGTGATAGGTCATGGGTCATAAAACTAAGAGCAAGCTTTGTGTTAGAGAAAAACGCACAACTATTAGATTATAAATGGCTTAAGAGTCTATGTTTTCCTGATGAACATGCCTCGAACATATAAAGACTGGTTAATATAGAGGAATGGAGATTATATGGAATGAATAATCATAACTGACATGTGTTTATGCAAACACTCATCCCATTAGCTTTTTGTGATTTGTTGCTAAAGGGGATATGAGATGCACTCACAAAAATCAATCATTTCTTTAAAGACATATGCTCTAACAAGTTGAATGTTGATCATATCGAAAGGCTTGAAATGAATATCATTGAGACAATATGTCAACTTGAGATTATATTCCCTCCATCATTTTTTGACTCGATAGAGCATCTACCTATACATTTATCGTTTGAGATAAAAGTCGGAGGACCGGTCTAATACAGATGGATGTACTCATTCGAGAGGTTAGATATTATAATTGTTATGTAATTTATAATTAAATATTTTTTTATTTTTTAATTGATAATTTTTTATTAATTATGTATATATAGGTACTTGTTGAATCTTAAAAAAAAAAGATTAAGAACAAGATGCATGTTGAGGTGTCAATATGTGAGGCCTATATTGTTGAGAAGATCTCAACATTTATCTCATACTATTTTGAACCTCATTTTAGAAGGAGGATCAACCATGTTCCACGGTATGATGATAGTGGTGAAGTGCCTTCAAGTGGGAGCTTATCAATATTCTCCAATCCTGGATAACCCACACCTAAAAATGCCGTAAAGGAAAGATATTTGTCTAAAATAGAGTTCAGACAAGCACATAATTATGTACTATTTAACTGTGATGAGCTGAGATGTTTTATTAAGTAAGTAGATATTCGACTTTAAATTTTTCATAAGTATACTATTTATATATTGTGATATCATAAACTCGTATAATTTAGAACAACCTTGCAGCAACATCGACG